GGACCAAAGGGACCCTTCTTACCAAGAGGGACAAAAGGGGACCAAAGGGACCGTCGCACCAAAGACAACATCAGCTCGGCGGGGGGTCGGCGCAGCGCGGCCCCGGGGCGCGTTTGGACCGTGACATGGACCGTGACATGGACCGTGACATGGTGGTGAAGTCTTGTATAAAGTCGTCTTTGTAGGTGGCGGCGGGAGGCATGTATTTCATTCTCATCGAGATCTTCTTACTCGCCGTCGAGCGCTGCGCCTACGTCGCGACAGAGTACTGGCTCGCCCGGTGGGCCGGGGCGCGGCGACGGGACGCGCATTTCTTTGGGGTGGAGTTTCGAAGACAGATCGATGTTGGCACTGCGTCCGGTTTTTGGAAATCCGAGTCGACGGTGCAAGCGGTCCATTCCGGAATGCGAAGGTAGGCGCCGCACTCTGCCCCACGGTGGGCCGCCGTTTACGCGTCACTCGGCGCGGCCTCCGTTCTTTTGTGCCTCTTCCGGACCCACTGGGGCTTCCGCGGCGGCGTCCGGGCCGCGAAGAAGCTGTACTCGGACATGGCCGCGAGAGTTCGCAAGGCCGCGTCCGTGAACCGTCAGACAACCGTCACACGTATCCAAGCCGTCCTTCGACGCCTTTGAGCGCCAAAGACGGGCTTGCTGCGCGTCGAAAGCACGACGCGTGACGTGATGCGCGTCGTGGACGGCGCGGCGCGGCTTTGCTGCGGGTCCGAAGCACGCCGTGACTTTGAAGAACTAAATATAGGTCCTCTCCGCCCCCATGTCCTTCTTCGACACGACGCCCAACGGCCGCGTCTTGAGCCGCTTCACGTTTGACACGGAGCAGATTGACATTGTCCTCACTTTAAAGGCTGCGCAGTTTATGACTTCGGTGTCGTGGAACGTCACAGGCGTCATCGTCATGTTAACGCTCAGTGATGGCCTCCTCTTCCTCATCCTCGCCCCAGTCGCGCTCTACTACTACCGATTGCAGAGGTTTTACAGATTGTCCAGCGTGGACCTCCAGCGATTAGATGCGCTCTCCAGATCGCCTCTGCAACATCAGGCAGCTGAAGGAATTCAAGCCGGTCAAACGCTCAGGGCTTTTGGCCGCTCAAACGTCTTCGCGAAGCGGTTCGACGCCGCCGTCGACGTGAACACGGAGGCTCTGCTGGCGTGGACTGCCGCACAACGGTGGATTGGCGTAAGGTTGGACGGCTGTGGTCTTGTCGTCAGTACAGTTGCAGCCGTCCAAATCCGCGTCGCCGGCAAACGCGGCATCCCGGAAATAGGCGGGCCGGTGTGACGCCGCGGCCGCCGGAGCTTTCCGAATGGACGAAAAGCCATGTAGGTGGCCACTCTCCATTTGACGAAAAGCCATGTAGGTGCTCGTGGTCACTCTCCGCGACGAGGTCGGTTTGACTCCCGCGTTTGCGGGCCTGCTCATGACGTGGGCGAACAACGTGACCATCTCGCTGATGTACCTCATCACGTCGTTTACTGAAGCAGAAATGGCCCTCACCTCCGTCGAAAGAGTGAAATTCCCGCGTCTTCACTGAAATCGAAGAATCGAAGAACTAAAGGGTGGAGAGAGGCTCGAGACACGCCGGAGAGGCCGTTTTCGACACGAGGCCGAGGTGGAGTGCCGTCGAGACGACTTGTTGACTCGCCGCCTGCCCCCGCAGGTCACCGAAGCGACTCCGCTCGAGGACGACGAGTGCCGCGCGTCTACGCCCCCCGGATCGCCGCCGCCGCCGCCGGGCGATGCGTGGCAGGCGCCGGGGGGGGCGCGCGTGGTGTTTGAAGACGTGCATTTACGCGAGAAACCCGCGTCAAATCGGAAAAGACAAGAGCGGTCTCCAGAGGGGCGCCCGGTTTCTCCGGCCCTGGACCCCGATGCGGCCCTTTTTCGTCGGACGTCGACGTGACGTGGACGCCCCCCTCTACATCCGTCTCTGGGACCGTATTCGGGACCGTCTCCGAGACCCTCCCGGGGGCCGCCTCCGGAGCAGTCTCCGGGACCGTCGACAAACCGTCTTTGGGACCGCAGAGGGGCCGTCTCTGGGGCCGCCTTTGCGTCTCCAGGGGGGAAACGCTTTGGACCCGTCTCTGAGACCGTCTCTTTGACCGTCGACGGATTGTCGGGCCTGGGCCCATCTCCGGACCGCCTTTGGACCGTCTCTGGGGCCGCCTTTGGACCCGTGACCGATACCGTCTCTGGGACGGCCTTTGGGACCGCGGAAGGACCATGCAAACCGACTAGGCTACCGCCCCGGCCTGCCTTTAGCCCTCCGCGGCGTCTCGCTGGACATCGCCGCCGGTGCCAAGGTCGGCGTCGTGGGCCGCAGCGGCGCTGGGAAATCGTCTCTGGCGGTGGCTCTGTTTCGACTGGCGCCTTTGGTGTCTGGTGATATCTTCCTTGACGGCCTCCGTCTCTCTCAACTTTCCGTGCGCGACCTCCGCCGGTGCGCGGGCCTCGCCGTCGTCGCGCAGGACCCGGTGCTCTTCTCCGGGTCGGTCCGGACGGCGGTGGACCCCTTTAGCGAACATAACGACCGCGCCGTGAGGCACGCTTTAGAAGCCGTCCGACCGGGCTGGCTCCGCCTCGACGACCGCGTGGAAGACGCCGGCGCGAAGCTCAGCGTCGGCGAACGCCAGCTCTTGGCTCTTGCAAGAGCGATGCTGGCCGAGCCGCGCGTCCTCCTTTTAGATGAGGCCACCGCTTCAGTAGATGACGTCACCGACTCCCGAATTCAAAAGATGCTCCGCGGCGCCGCCTCGCTGAAGAACACGACGGTCATCTGCGTCGCGCACCGTTTGCACACGGTCGTCGATTTCGACGCCGTGGCCGTTTTTGCCGCTGGCAAGTGCGTGGAGTACGGCCCACCGCAATTCCTCTTGGATCAAAACGGCGCCTTTGCAAAGCTCGTCGACTCCACCGGCCCGCAGACGGCCTTGCTGCTGCGCGAGGCCGCCGCGCACGCGACCGGAGTTTTGTGAACGTAATCACCTTGCGAGGACCCTTTTTGGAGCATGGCCTCGTTCCGCTTCGGGGGGTCTTGCTTGCTGAAGATCCACCCTTCTATAAAGGCCGCGATGCCTCGATGCCCTCGGCGAACGGTCGAAAGGGGGCCGCGTGGCGACGATTGGACAGTGCGTCGTATTTTGCGGGGATGCCAGGAATTCCGTGAGGGAGAAATGCCGCCCAAAATCAGGCCGACTGCCTCGCGCGCCGCAGCCCCGCAGCCCGAGGAGATATGCCCCTCGTCGATGCGACCGTTCGACGTCGGTCCGACTGCAAAATCATTGAAAGCATCCAGGCGCCAGGACAACGCCATCGAATAGGGATTCCTCCAATTGGACCCCCTCTACAATTGTAGTCACGGCGATGTAGGCTAGATCGCGGCTCCAAGAAAAATGCGAGGCGAGAGGTGACGTAGACGACGACGTCCCGGTGCGCGTGGGCGATATTGTACGTCGCGACTTCGTGAGACGACGACTCAACGACGTCTCAAGGAGGCGACGGCGCGTATATCTTTCATTCTTCAAACACTCCGAGGGCCCGTCCTCCGCACAGATCTGCCACCCTCGGCCTGCGACTCGGAGGTGTCGCCGACGAGTCGAGGCATCCTCACACTCGAGGCCCACTGCGCACCGTCGCTCGTCGCTGCGCAGGGTCGCGGCTCAAACAAGTCAAACCTGGACGACTCGACGCCAGTGGAAACGTTTTGTCTTCACGCCGTGATTTCCGGACCGCCGATCCGAGGCGCGTCTGCATCGCTCCCGAGCGCGGAAGACGGGGCGGGCGCGTCTACAGGGCCACCTTGCGCACCTGCCTCGCCTCTGCGCCGCGCGTTCTGGAGGAGCGTAGTCGGGGGGGGGGCGTCGCCGCGGCACAGGCCCGAGGGCTCCAGCCGCGAGAGGCCCCGAGCAGCCCAAGCGGCCAGCCGATCGCGGCGCCGAGCGTACACGGGAAGAAGGCCCCGACCGCGGACGAACGAGGTCCAGTCTCGGTTGGCCCGCGGATCCTTGTCACCCCTCCGCTTCTGCTCGCGGGTCCCGAGGCCACGTCCTCGAGCTACAAGAAGAGCGCTCGAAGAACGTGCGCACGTCGACGTTGCGCGCTCGTCCCGTGCCGCGAGTGCTCGCGGATTGCTTCGGAACAAGTCTTTAGACCCAAGAAAGGCTCCCCGCGAGGAATGAAAGTACCATCGAACAACTTCGCCAGGGCATAAGCACCGCGCGAACCGGGATCCACACGGCCTCGGCTTCCCAGGCCGAGGGACCAGGCAGCCGCAGAGGAGACCACCTGGTCCCGCCCCGACCCTCGGGAAGGTCGGCAACAAGGGTCTTGAATTCCTACTAAGAATTCCTAGTACAGCTTCCTAGGAATTCCTATACATGTAGAACTTCCTATAGGAATTTCCTAGAACTTCCTATAGAAGTGCCATAGAACTTCCTATAGAACTTCCTATAATGCCCTTAACTTGGACTACGCCAAGGCGGGTATGATGCCCGCGAAGCCATTGCACGAGGAACTCCGAGACCAGGAGCGTGCGTATATGGCGGGGAGAGGTTCGAAAGGTCCTTGCGAAGGAGATTATATACATCGGGCCCAATACAACTTTCAACGAAATAGATTACATTGTTTGTTCAGTAAAAGGGCAACTGGATCTGTGGTATAGCTTTCCGCGATTGTCGATTCGTCAGTCGCTCAACTTCCAGCAGAAAGTTACGGTTCGTCGAAGATGTGTTCAGTCACCGGGCATCACCCACCATCTCATCGGCTCATCAGCCACTGATCTTGGGCGATCGTCTAACTTCACCAATCGCTTGCGTCGTCTAGCGGTTAGGATGCGACCTTGACACGGTTGAGATCATGGGTTCAAATCCCATCGCGAGTACTCTTTCCTCTCTCAGAGTGATGTAGTGGTAACATCAGTCGTTGCCATCGACTGTCCCCGGGTCCGATTCCCGGCTCTGAGATCAATATCAGCGTTCGATTAAGTTGCGGTCGTGGCCGAGCGGTCTAAGGCGCTAGTTTCAGGTACTAGTTCGTAACAGAGCGCGGGTTCGAACCCCGCCGACCGTACTTTCTTCATACAAGTTTATCCCTGTTCGTATAGTGGTTAGTATCTCCGCCTGTCACGCGGAAGACCGGGGTTCAATTCCCCGACAGGGAGTCTAATGTCGGCTGCAGTAGCAGGCCGCAGAACTCAGCTCCACCTCAGAGTGATGTAGTGGTAACATCAGTCGTTGCCATCGACTGTCCCCGGGTCCGATTCCCGGCTCTGAGATT